GCAACTTACGTTGCAATTAGTTTTAACCTATATATATTGCAACTAATTTTAGCTTATGTTGCAACATTTTGTAAATTGGAAATCAATTGCTATACCATCTTTACTTAATAAAGATCATAGAACAAATATTGCTGAATTATGTGAACATTTTGTGACCTCTACTTCAACAAATATAAGCCAAATTTCTCTTAAAAGACATCTTCATAAAAATGGAGTTTATGGAAAGATTGGAGCAAAAAAACCCTTTGTAAATGCAGCTAGTAAAATGAAAAGATTAACTTGGGCTAAAAAAAGAAAAGATTGGAAAAATGAATGGGAATATGTTATCTGGAATTATGAATCTAGGTTTGAGGTATTTAAAGGAAATAGAAAGAGATATGTTTGGAGGAATGCTCAAGAAAAACATGATTCAAAATGTCTTATTCATACATTTAAATCAGGTCAGCAGAGTGTAATAGTTTGAGGTTGTTTTACAAAAAATAAACTAGGTCTATTGGTCAAATTAGAAGGCAGAATTACAGCAATTATATATAAAGATATATTAAAAAACTATTTAATACCATTTATAGATGGTTTAGAAAATAAAAATAAATACATTTTTCAAGAAGATAATGCTCCTATTCATGCTGCAAAAGTAGTAAAAAAATGGCAAGTGAAAAATAATATTATAAGTTTACCATGGCATGCACAGAGTCCAGATTTAAATCTCATAGAAAATTTATGGGATGAATTGGATAGAAAGATCAGAAAACATAAACCATTACCAAAAAATCAAGATGATTTATGGCAGATTTTGCAGGAAAAAATATATAAAAATTTTATTGATAGTATACCACGCCATATTTCTGCTGTTATTGACAATAAAGACAATCCTACAAAATACTAATAATTAAATTATAAAAAATATATTTATATAAGTAATTTAAAAAAATTGTAAAAATCAATGCGATAGTTCGTAAGTTATCGCAATTTAAAAATTTGGTATAATTTATAAAAATGATTGATATTGCATGTGTCCGGTGACTTTTAATACCCCACTGTACATCTAAATTGCAACTATGAGATAATGCAATTAATAAAAGTTTTAAATCTAAGGTAAAATTACTATTATATTATATTTATATTTTTTAATGTAATTTAGTATTTATTAATATTAATTATATAATTTACAGTTAAATAATGGTATAACGAATAGATGTTATCTATAACACATAATTTTACTCCAGCTGAAAGGATTAAAAGACCTTCTTATTCAACTGTTGCAACTTGGTTTAAAGATTCATAGGATAAAATTGATAATAATTTTATTCAATGTTCTTTTAAATGTTGTGGAATTTCAACAAAAATTGATGGTTCTAAAGATCATTACCCTATTTGATTATGATAAATTCTCAGGTCTGGTAAATGAGCAAAAGTATTGATATTGATGAAATTAAAGAGGTAGATAATAATAATAAAGAATATTCTGAAGAAAATGATTATAAGAATAAATGGACTGTTCAAAATAATAATAAAGATGATGATCAAGAATTATCTTCTATAGATGAATAAGAAGAATATATTAAAAAAAAGTATCTTGAAAATAATAAATATAGCTATATTCAAATTTAAAACTTTTATTAAAGTTTTTGAAAAATTTATTAAATTGCTTAAAAATCGTTCTTTTATAATATTATACCCCGGATATTTTATAAATTTAAATATCTAAAATTGAAATCTCCATGTACAGTATAATATCCAGTATTAGTCTCGAAAATGTTAGACGATCAAAACTGCGTCTAAAATTGTACTGCGGCAAATGTAATAGATAGTAATATATAAAAAAGAAAAAAAATAAGCAATGCAGAATATTCAAGATGGCTGGTCTTGTTATCTTATTAGCATTATTAGCACTTGTAATTTTTTTTATTTTATTATTATTGTTGTTTTATTATTTTTTTTTTATTAGTGTTATTTTTTTAGTATTATTTTTATTAGCGATATTTTATTTTATTATTTTATTAATGTTATATTTTAGTATTATTTTTTTAGCGTTTATTATTTTATTTATTTACATGTATAAGAGAATTTAACTAGCGATCATTGAGTTAGCGCAATGATATTTGTTTCCCAGCCAATATTGTTCAATGGCCATAATTGTTCTCTGGCCAAATTAGTTTACTGGAATGGCTAAATTAGTTTCCTGGACAAAAATGTCCTGTTAAAATTTTACATATATAAATGGCGGAATTTTTTTTTAATAAAAAACAATGATTATAACAATTTTTATACAACGATAATTACAACGATTAATACAGTTCACATTTGCTATCCCTTAGATTGTAGAGCAGGCAAATTTGCCTGCGAAGTTAAAAAAAAAGTGTTAATTTCTTAATAAAATATTAAATATTAATTTTA